ATAATTCATACATATCTTACTAAAATTATGTGCATCTAATTAATGATATTTTTGAAGAATGGGGGGCAAAAACAAAACGAGTGCGACTCCACTCAGATGAAGTGCATAAAGACAAGGAAAGCCCATATGAAGATCAAATGAAGTTTCATCGCAAAACTAATTGGTAGAAAAAGGAGTAATCTATTAGACTTATAAATTATATATATTTTTCCTATTTTGTGTTCCCTATATAAACGGTGTGAGACAATTCACAAGTGATCGCTCACTTGTGAGTTCTTCCTAAGAAGTCCAAGTCCATATACGGAGTTGGGTGCCCATGCCCTACTAAAAACAGGCTGGGTAAACGGGTATGTGATCGCACGGTCTCAATAAAACGGACTCTTATACTATGTAGAAAGCAGGGGCAAAAATGACGGCTCTTATACAATGTAAGAACCGGAGGCAAAAATGAGTGCGGCCCCACGCAGATGAAGTCGACAAATACAGGGAAAGTCCAGATGAAGCACAAATAGGGTTCCATCGTAAAACTAATTGGTAGAAGAAGGAGTAGCACATTATACTTATTATTCTCGTATAAACGATGTGAGACAACTTACAAGTGAATATTTTAATAGATGTGATATAGGTTTTACTTGGTCAAAATTTATTGTGGTCTCGTAGCCCAAAAAAGGAATAATTACATGAACCAAAACAATCAATTCGGAATTAAGAAAAAAAGACTGAAAATGACAATTAAGTTAATATATGTGGAGCGGATAGAAAATTTCTATTTTTTTAACACCCAATTGGAATTTTGTCGGATCGAATGTAGTTGTCAAAAGCAGTGTTGGATATATAAGTCAGTGATTAATAATATTTAGGGCATATTATCTTGTGATAAAACAATTGAATTTTCATGTGAGAATTGTTACTTGAGCCGACAAATTCCATCTGGGAGTTGAGCATTTTTTTTTTTTTTAATAAATAAAAAATTATTGAGATCTTATATATTAATTACTATTTCAAATAAAATAAAATAAAATGGATATGGCTCCAAACTCTAATTTTGAGAATACAACTAAATTAAAGGAATAAGGAATAAGATTCGAGGCCCATTATTACAAAACTTAATATTTTATAATTGTCATCTTGCATGAATATTTTATTCATTTTCTGGAGATTTGTCTTCTCTTGACATAGATATAAATATAAATAATATATATATATATAAAATATTTTTATTTGGACATAATAAAGTTGTTCAATCAACGCTCAACTGATTTGACTGAGTATAACATTTTGTTGTTCCATATAATAAGATAATATTAATTTGAAACTATATAATATGATTTTGAAATAAAATAAATAAAAATCACCAACGGCATGAGAGTGGACTACGATAATGGTGACAGAAAATAATGAAAATAATATATATTTATTAGCAGCAACAGAAACCAGAATTTCATGACTTGCATGATTTGTTGATCATTAAAATATTTTGATATTATATATATAAAGTTGTTGTAAAAAATAAGGAAAAAAAAAAAGACAAAAAAAAAAATGTTTTTT